CCTAGAGAAAAGAAATTACTTTACTATTATCAAAATTTTCTCGATTGGAGGATCGGAGGACCCTACACGTCATCCCATAGCACTTGGGATCGGAGTAGAGAAGGAGGGACATTGAGCATCTTCACTCCCAAATCAAATGAGAGAGAGAGCCTTGCAAGAACATCTACATCATTGCTTTGCTCTCTGAGAACGTGCACTAACTCAACATCTCAAGACTTTCTTAGTTCACCCTGCCATATTTCAATCAAATCCGACCAATATAGCACTAAAATTAATATGAAAAATTAGAGGAATGAAAATATATAAAAAGTTGTAATGCTAAATGTACTTTCAATTATATAAATTAGTTGAACACATGACCTTCTATTTGGGAGAGCTTTTTCGTGTCAATAGACGACAAGGTTATTGGCTAGACTATAGGAAATATTAAAGATGGAAAGATTTGAGTCATTGAGATTATGGATGGCAGGATGGGAAGTTTAATTGGTGTGGAAGGGCTAATGCGATCCGTGATGGCATGGCAAAATTAATGGTTAATGGAAACCCCATTATTTTGTGACATAATTATGGTGTTATGGACTCCATCTCTAAAGAAGATTACCTAAGGATCGGAACAACATCGTTTTATATATACAGCTAGCTGTACTTTATTTAGGATTATTCTTAATATAATAATATTCTCGATGATCTCTTTCTCCACCAGAAACGATTTGTGACATATATCCACCCCTCCTCTCAATACTATTTGAAGATTGTTTTATTTATTTATTTATTTATTTTAGTAATGAGAAAAATTCGTAATTACTATTTAAAAATATGTATGAAGTAAATTCTATTCATGTGTAATAGCATGTAAATCACATATGAGAGGTAATTAAGTTGCATTGTGAAGACTTTGTACGACAGGTTCAATCGAGAGTGTGTTGACAAGATTTGAACTTCAACATTGTATTTTTTATATATATATATGCGTGAAGTGTGTGTGTCTATATATATATATATATATATGAAAAGTTATGGTTCCGATTGGTATCGTTACTGTTTGTATTTGGTACAAGTTATTATAAATTTTGAAAAAGACTTTACATTTATATCAATACAAATCTAAACCTTTTCTCATTCACTTTGGAGTTATACCAGGTTTGAGAGGCATCGGTGGAGTTGTGGCGATCGTCACTTTAAAAATTTTCTATATATGTATGTGTATGTGTGTATGTATGTATGTATATATATCATGTCTCATTAGTCAAACATGAAAATAATTTGTTAGATGATTCTTAATATAATCGTTGTTGACATAAATTGCATAATTGGAAAATATGGGTTTTGCATGAAATCAAAAGTACATGAATGTAAAACTTCATTTTAGCTTAAAAAGTTTTCATCTATTCTCGGAGGTTTTGAGAGTCGAATTCAACATTCTACCATTGAAATGTGGTGTTAATTGCTACATAAATATAAAAGAATAAAGTTGTACTTTTGCTACTAATTATAACTTTTGGTATATTAGTAAGAGTTTGATATTGATAAAAAGACATGTTGTACAATTGAGATTGACAAGTAATGAGAGTGGATTATTGGAAACGTGACGCTGATTTAAATAAAGTTCCGCATTCGCTTCATAATCATGACACCATCCAAGTTTTCGTTTACATATGTACTTTTGGAAAATAATGAGTTTGGAGATTTTTGTCCACTAGTTAAGTGAACAATTTTGGATAACCAATGAATAAAAGTTGTATTGCCATGTCATTTGGTAAATAATTTCGGTGTAAATTGTTGATCTAGAATTAAGAAGAAAAAAGACAATATATGGGAATATGATAATTTTAATGGGTAAAATCAAGTTTTTTTTTTTTTAATATGGAAATTACAATAATTTAAATTAGTACTATACAAAGGCTTTTTACCTTTATGTCTCTTAAGTCTTCGTCAATTGTACGTACAATGTGTATCGATATATATAAAACTAAATACAACGAAAATAACGTGTAGGAAATAGGAGTGGTACGTGGTTGTCTATGATGTGAACACCTACATTACAGCTCTTTCACCACCACCACAACAACAATAATAATATAATTATTATTTTAAAAACAACAACAACAACAACAACAACAACAATAATAATAATAATAATAATAATAATTATTATTATTATTATTATTATTATTATTATTTATTACATTATATCAAGTTTCAAGCTCTACCGACTCGACCACTTATTTTGAGGTTTAACCAAACTTTTTTATTAACTTTATACGGGTGGCGGATGGTAGAGCGACCATCACCCCTCTCTCCCTTCATAGTATTCTCATGGAGGACCATGTTGGTGTTCCTCATGCAAGACTTATGCTAGGTGTGATGTCGACATGTATCAATTTTAGAGTTTCTTGCTCGCATATACTTAGCTCACTGGTTCAGTAGACACTGTTTGGGAGAAGAGACTAAGGTTCGAATCTTGATAACGGTAGTGTGGAGATTATGTTTGAAATGGACAGATCTTTGATTTATATTTTCTCAAATGCTCTGTGGGGTGGCGGAGCTGTTGCTACTTATACCACCCTGGTCAAATACAATTTACGAGATTGTATTAATAAATTTTTTAATTAATTAAAACATTAAAAAAAAAATTAAAAAAACCAGGCGAAGGGCTGCCTTCTCACCGGAGAAGGAGACCCACTAGGCTACCTTCTCACCTGAGAAGGCAACCCACTGGGTTGCCTTCTCACCGGAGAAGGCGAGGGAGTGTTTTTTTTTAATAATGTTTGTATTTTTAAATAAAAATAATTAATAAATATTTTTTGAAAAATATAATGTTTGTCTAATTTAATGAAGGTGGTGCAAATATCATTTTTTTATTTACACCACCTAATATCAATTGGGGTGGTGCAAATAGAATTCCCCATTTGTATTAGTCACGAATTTTAATTACTGTAATTTGCAATAAAACATGATTTATTAGCAATTAATAATGGACATTAATGGTGAAACGTATTAATTCTATTTATTATCATTAATGAAAGTTCTGACTTTAAGACTATAAATTGACAGAAATTTTAGAATCCAAACGTATAATCTTGAATTTAAACTTCAGTAATATCAATTTTAGTAATATTACTCCGTATATTACATGTAACCATCGTGATTTCCGTATTACATGATTTAATTGAATTTCCTGTTTTTTTTTTTTTTTTTTGGGAAAATTTCCTTTAATTTCTCCTTTTTGACTAATTGCAATTTGACCCTACAATCATCTTGTAATTAATCTATTTGCCATTTTCTACTTTTCTTTTGCAATTTCCACCCTTGTTGCCAGGCTCCATGGACCAGTCCAAAGGTGAGACGTAGCTGAAATTAGACAGAAAATGACAAAAGTAGGACATAGCAGATGGAGAAAAATCAATCCTATACCATCCACATGTAGGGACACAACAGTCATTTTCGCTCTACAGTTTTAACTTTTAAGGTTCATGTCCGGCCCCCAAGGACCAAGATGAACTACTTTAGTATCCTAAATTATTTATTCAAGCATACAATATTTAAAATTAATTATTGATAACAATTATCTTATTTACATATTTTAATTTCTCTCTTTATATTTCATGTCAATTTAATTTACATTAATACCGTTAAAAAATTACTCAAATTTGAACTAAATAACACCCACAATATCAGCTAACGACCTTGTCGTTTAGTGACACGAAGTGACTCTCGTAGGTTAAAAGAGTAGTTATGAACCGATAATACATTGTAACAGAGATAGTAGTACTAAAAAAATACCAATAATATCATTAAAAAAAATATGTGGTTTAATTGGTGTTTATTTGTTTATTATGCACCGGTTTTTGTGGGCTGAATTTCGTATGATGCAAGAAAATCTGATCAATAAATTAGTATAATATTGTAATTAATTAGTTGAAATAGTGATTTATGCTTGTCCCCATTTCCTAACTAATATGTGAAAGGACCTCTATTTATTATTATTGTCATCATAATCTGGCATGAGTCACACGCACAGAGTTTGATACTTATTTAATTTGATTACACAAAATATTTGTTTACCGATTAACGTATTGTTTTAAATGGTTGGATTAAACGGACCTATATTACTTAGATACACATGTTATTGATGGCATGCTTTAGCAAATTTCGATGATATACCATTTTATGTATGCAAAGAATATTGATTAAAACACTTATAGGTGTAGATGAGAAAACGTAGATATATTTATTTCGATTTAATCAGAAATCTTACCTAACACAAATATAATTACTCGTCCAGGCCAAATTCTTTTTCCTCGGGCACCTATATACTAGCCTGACATGATAGTGAAAGAGTAAATTATGGTGACTCAATGGTAGTCGCCGGCCCATTAGGTAAGATTACCAATGCTCGGTGCCCATTACATTGGGTGAAACTCCCATATTGCTGAATATGATTACTCTCAATGTGTTATTTTAGTTGACTGGTCGAGAAAACTCCAATGATATGCATGGAGTAAACTTCTGCTTCTATTTTATAGCTTGTAAATTGTAAATAACACAGGAAGAATCTGTACGACAAGTCGACAAGTTCGACTGATAGGATATTGACAAAAATTGAACTAACAATTATCTCACTATTAAAATTAGCATAATAGTATTTAATCTTGATTCATGTGAGATGTGTAATACATTTTAGCGTAATAACTTTTCTAAAAAGTATTTATTTATTCCAACCCAAAAAGCAACAATAAAACTAATACCACCCCACCCCACCCCCCTCGTATCACCATCAACTGAAAACTACTGCAAGCAGCCTCTGATCTGCCAATACTTCCTCAACCCACCATATATAATTAATAATAATTATAATATTTAAAAATTATATATTCATTAAAAAAAATAAAAGAGAAAAAAAAAAGTGGATAATAACTAGATTAATTAGATAATCCTATGATGTACGTGTGTGTATATATGTCCTCCGACGGCCTCTATATAAATGGGCTGATGTGAGATGGATACATTATAGTCAATGCAATAACTCTTCACTTTCAATTCACATCTCTCTCTCTCTCTCTCTCTCTCTCTCTCTCTCTACCTCTCGCTCTCAGATCAGAATTCAAGAATGGTGGATCTCCAAACAGTGTGTTCCATGTGCGGCGACGTTGGCTTCCCCGACAAACTTTTTCGCTGCTCCAAGTGCCACCACCGCTTCCAGCACTCGTACGCCGCCGCTCTCTACCCCCCCCCCCCCACCCCCACCCCTCCACGTGTCTGCATGTATATATATGTGTGTGTGTGTGTGTATACTATGTTGTTTTGTTTTGTTTTGTGTATTTGTGTTTCTGGGTAGATGGAAAGATGGGTTCTTTTGGGTTGCATGCCGGTGAATTTGGTGGTTTGGGGAGTGAGATTGTGTGTGGGCGGCGGAGCACGGTGGCGCAGCCTTGTTGGGGCTTTTTGGGACAGCCAAACAAGGCCTTAACCACCGCCACCACCACCTAAGTTGTCCATTCACTCCAAAGGAAACATCCTTAGCCTAACAACCACCGGCCCCCTCATTCACAATTCTTGATCATATCATCATTAATTACATCTGTTTTATGTTTTCTTGCCCACAATCTACTACCTGACCAGAACTAATTGAACTATCCCTGCAGATTTAAATTTTTAATTTTTATCCATAATTTATAGTTCAGAACTAATTGAGTTACTCGTGCTGGGGTTATAATTTTTCATTATTTTATGCCCCGATCTTGATTTCAATTTGTACGAATTTGAGATTTAATCACACATTAAATAATTTAAGGATGTTTTTTTTTTTTTTAAAGGTATTGTAGCAGTAACTACAGCGAATTCTCGGAGCCGATACAAGTCTGCGATTGGTGCCAGAGCGAGCAACGGAGCTCGCGGCACGGCGGGTCGTCCAGGAAATCGGCGGCGGCGGCCGGCGGCGATTCGGGGACCAAACGATCGGAGTACTCCGGCGACAAGATCAAACAGCACGATCACGACGGATGCCCGGAGCGGCCGGCGGCGGCGGCGCCCTCCAAGAATCCCGGCGGCGCCCCGTCGCCTCGCCCCACCCCTCGCCGCTACAAGCTCCTCAAAGACGTCATGTGCTGAAATCTCATGAAGAAAGAAAGAAAGAAAGAATCATCGAAAGCTAATTAAGCCTTTAATTTCATCATAAAGTGTAAGTGTTTGTGATGATGATATGATGAGTGTTCTAAATTTAGCCTTTTTCTGCTTTAATTTTCCTCATTTCCCTCTAGTTTCTCTCTCTATCTCTATCTCTATAAATATATATCCTGAATAATTACTATGTAAATATATATATATAAAACATATATGTATCTATGTATGATCGAATATATATAATAAAGATGTTTTCTTAGCTTGAACCCTTCTTGTTCTATATTTACAGTACTGCTGCATGCTGATACATATATACTTTATGTAACATCATCAAATCCTCTTCCTTAATTAGTGTCTTTGTTTGTCTCCCATCACTTAATTACATTAAATTAATCAACTTTGACATGCATGAAACATATCATTAAAACCCCACTAGGATTAATTAAGGTTAGATTAGGACCACTCAGCAGGCATTTGTTTACATTAAAAAGATCATATCATATATAAATTGAGTTAGTAGTTTGAGTGTCCTTATAGAGTAGGGTTATTGTAGCTTGGAATTAGTGGATGAGATTGAAGGCATATGTGAAGTACAAATGCATGTACACTACACACTTATCATCTCAAACTACAAATCTCACCTAACAATATGGACAGGGACACAGGGTAAACCTTACTCCTGTGTAATAGTTAGCAAATCAGCAAATCATACCGGAAATTAAAGGTAAAATGTACTAGGAAGATTCAATTCATGTGATTGGCTCGACCAGAAGGTGTAGTTGATATCTTGGCTCGACCAGAAGGTGTAGTTGATATCTTTTTGACTTTTCTTGATTTAATAAGTCTGACGGTGGTGACACTTTAAAGGAGATATGTCTTGCTTTGAAGACATGTGGGAGATTATCGGTTAGGGTATTCTCTCACTTGATTTATACTTTGTTGAGTTGAATTGAATGCAGTGTGGCGAGGCCAAGGGGTTCATGGTACCTAATGCTACAACCATAACTCTTTTCCAGATTCATTGAAGCTAAGGTATTAATGAGACCCCACCACCCTTCAATTATTGTTTTCTTAATGAGGGAATTTCTTCCTATAAATACTAATGTGTTTATACAACCGTACTCGAAGTTATTGGTAAGTATACAGTTAAAAGATCGACAGATCGACTCTTATAAGAATGATATACTATACGTACCTATGTGTTGTGAGTTGTTTAGTTCATAATCTTGTGACTTAGTTTGGTAGTTGTGTAGTGTTATTTTGGGGGGATTAATGATAAAAATGGGGAAATAGAGTCAACTACTGGGAAACCTTTTATCATAAATTTAGGTTGCAAAAAGTTTTCATAAGTACAAAAGAAAGCTGGTCTGACAAAGTGTCTTCCACGTAGTGTGTCTTCTGGTGTCCATACATGGTGCTTTCCAACAAAACCTCTCATTGTTTCACATTTGACTGTCAACCAAATATCGTCCATCTCGTGTTCTTTGACTGCTAACAACCATAATTCATTCTCTCTCTCTTCTATCTCTCTAAGAATATATAGTGTTTGTTGTCCCGAAAGAAGTGATTGGGCGAGTAAAATACTATATGATTCACATACTTGAATGTTACGAGTTTGATTTTTACTAATGGATCGAGTTTATCGCGGCACTGCACAAGGTCTTTATAATAATACGATTTACCTCTCTTGTGGAGTGTGATGATTTAGCTAGTGTATACTCTCGGGTAATGGTTTGAAGGGTTTGAATTTCTCGTAAAAAAAAAAAAAATCGTGTTTGTTTGCTTCAGTTGATAGAATGATGTTACAATTTCATTGATTTTTGGCCCATGCCAATCTGTTCAGGAAATTATACTGTGGACTATGGATAAATATTTATTTTTAGTATATTAAATGTTCATTTTTAGATGGTATATCTAAAAATAAATTTTAAGTACACAAAAAATGAATTTTAAAAAAAATAAATATTCAGTATATTAAAAATAAACTTTATACCTGTGATCTACGTACGGGATTAAATCTGTTCTCTCTCTAAAAAAAAATGCATGGGATCAAGTTGTATTGTAGCCGACCAGTAACGTTGAAATTCTCCGCCCCCCATAAATTTCGACCCCATCTACATGTGAAACTAATTTCACGACTACGCAATCTCTCTCTCTCTCTCTCTCTCTCTCTCTCTCTCTCTCTATATATATATATATATATATATATATATATATATATAGCTGCATGCATGTAACAGTTAATTAGTATGTATCATGCAAGATTGCCACATGGTGGCATGGATTGGATTGCTTGGCTTTGCATTTCAGAACTCTGATCTGTTTGCTTTCCCACTTCTAAGCAACAGGTGTACTCGCAATACCATGGGTCGAACACAGACTACACTGCATGCAACACAACTACTATATATATATATATATATATATATATATATATATATATATATATATATATATATATATATATATATATATTGAATATCATATTACAATCATGTCTTAAATGAGAACGTGAGAAACCAGTTTGATTGATGTGAGTGGCTCTACACTTTCATCCCTTAAAAGATCGAAGTCGGGAGTTCAAACCCTCTCTCTGAAAAACCAATCTAGCCAGCACTTTGTCCCAATCATTATTGTGTGAACCATGATCTATACAAGTTGTGTGGACCATATTTTGTATACTATAAAATAATGTATATTCAGTACAAAAATAATGTACATTGTATTCCGGGAATGTACATTATTTTTGTACTGAGTGTACAATATATTGTATAATGTACATTCAATACAAAAATAATATACATTTAGTATATTAAAAATTTATGGTCCACATAACACTGTGTGGACCATGGTCCAAACAATAATTTGCCACTTTGTCCCAATTGGGCTGGTCCGGTGTGAATGATTATTAATCTGCAGGTTTAAAGGTGCCATTTATAGTCTGCTTAGGATACTTTATGGTCTGACAAAAAAAATGTACTTTATGGTCTGACAAAAAAATTAGAATGTGTAAGAACTGCATGAGTGCATACGTAACTACTCCAGGGTCTCCGTCAACATCTAAGCATACGTGAGAATAGATTGTGTGTACTCATAGTAGTTCACATATTCTCATATGAACGCAAACATATATATAATTTCATTGAACTTAGTGCTTATATTTTGTCAATTGTAAGCGTATGGACAAATGATATGATGATTTTTTTCTTCATTGGATTCTTGTGTTTTGCATTGAAGTCTTTATCCTTGTATGCTTGCATGTTGATTATATTGGAGCTATATATGGTAGAATGGTAGGTGCCATTGATTTCTTCCATTAAGACTTTTTAAAAAGTATACTTTTGGGCCCCGAAAATGATAATTAGGTGGGTGGAACACAATTATCTTACACAGAAAGTATAAATTCGACACCCTCTCAGCCGAATTAGCTTAATCACATAGGGTTCTCTCCTACTTAGTTTACGAATTATTACATAACAACAAATCAGAGTATATTTAATACACGTTCTATGATAGTGTCGACATATGTTGTTCTATAATCCCATTAAAAAAAGGGTACAAATTTGGAATGGATTAAAGAGAGTGGTCAACTATATTCCCTAAGACATTTTGCAGGATGCAATTAAAAGTCATTAATTGGGAAGTACCTGCATGCGTTAATATAGGGAAATCATGCTGGCTGTCTGACCGTAGATCCCATATATGATCTAGCTAACTACAACCTTTAAAAAAAAAAAAAAAAAAAAAAAAAAAAAAAAAAAAAAACAAAGAAATATCATTAACAAAAGCTTCGAGTGCAGGACATTAGAAATTTCTGGGTCAACATATGAGCAATCAGAATCGCTGACTGTTTAACAAAAGAGATAAAAACATTTGAAAAATAGTTGTAAATTTTTTACATCAAGTAAGATGAGATCAAAATGAGAATCATGATTGGTAGATTGTAAACAAGACAAGAGGTTACATGTAACACGTTGGGTTTGCACTCTCATTAAATGTATCAAAAAGTAATAGTCATAAGTGAATATAAAATTGTAGTTGCAAATATTGAATATCTTTTCTAATATAGGCATCAAGATTATATGGGGTTCGATTTTAATTTGACATATGTCACATTTCTTTCTAGTTGCATAATTCATGTACTAAAAAATCACAAGTTCGATTCTTGCCAATACCATCTTAGTCAAGCCTATCGTACAAGGTATTCCTATTGTGGTTTACTTCTATCAATCGAATCTATCCCACAAAGTCCTCATACAGTAGTTTACCTCGATCTCCTTTGTAATTTGTGGATTATTATATTGAAACTAAATTTATATAGTACACATTAAAATGATGACTGCAAGTTTACCTCGCCACTTAAAAAATATTAGAGCAAGGGCCAATTTTACCACATTCATGTTAGCCCAAAAACTGGTCAGTAGACTGTAAGAATTCTAGTATTGCTTAAACCTTGACTGAAGGTCCAAAAAAGTGCAAAAATGAGCCCAAAAGTATTACACTTGTAAATGTTATTTCTAGAAAGGTAAATAAAATAATGTATAATGTGGGCTTCAACAGAAACTGGAGGACCCAAAAGTAATTTTTTATTGTAACTTGGACTTCTTTATTTTAAGTTGAAAAACTTCAATTCATGACCCAAACTAAGCCCTAAATAATGTCAATTTTTTTTTTTTTGAAAACTAAATAATGTCAATATTAATCATGTTATAATATGTTAGGCGAAGATTTAGAGGGCCGAGTTGTCATCGAAATGTGACGTTAACTACTAAGGAATATAAAGAAATAAAGTCACATATTTGCTAACTTTTGTCGGAATGATAAACACTTGATCTTAACAAATTAATTAATTAATTAATTAAAATATTAATAAGTCTAATTTTAAAGTATTTATCGACACAATATCACACAGTGAAAGTTCTTTAATAAGTTTTTTTTTTAGTACTACTACCTCTGTTACAATTGGTATTTATCTATTCTAAAAATCTTACATCCTTTAATAATTTTAATTTGGATAATATCTAATCAACTTTGAATTTAACCCTAAATTAAAAGAATATAAATTCTTTAATTTGATGCCCAAAAACACCTATTGACTTTGTTCCACGTACTTTAAT